CATTGATCTTCAATTTCTTCATGTTATTCTCAACGCCACGTAGCATAACATGAAGTAAGATCTTAAATTTAACGCACACGTTTCATATACGAACTTAAGTACCGGGACCAGGAACTAATCGAAAACTTTCCGGTTCAAGCATTAGCGTAGTTTCCAAAATAGGAACAATTTTCGTCTTTTAAACAAAGTCCACGCCATTTCTACTTTTCTGTAGAAATTTGGTAAGCTAGTTGTCTCCGATGAGCTGTTCCGGAAACAGATATCGTTTTACCCCTTCAAACCTTAGTCCATCGATTTCAAAAGTTCTTGGGATCTTACATCTCTTAAACATAACCTGAGTCTTCGTTAAGATCATTTTCAGCACCGCTTTCATGTTGGTACTGTTCAGCTTCTGGATTCATCTCGGAGGTCCTCTGAAGATATTTTCAGAAACAGAATGTTGTCGGCAAACCGCAGGTGGCTAAATTCAGTCCATCTTCAAGCACTGACTTTTCCAACTTAGTGCATTGAAAATCCCTTTCAAAATTGCTATAAATTCGATAATATTGCATCATTCGGTCAGACGAATTATTTTGAAAGTGTCTTTCTCGTTATGAATTATAATCGTTATATTCTTCCATGTCTTAGTCATAAGGTACCTGCAAATTTTTTCTATTCCCTGGATCTTCAACAAATTCAGTACTGAAGTGAGTGACGAGAGAGTTGAAAGGTTCCTCGAAATACACAAACTCCTAAGCAAAGAAGAAGCTGATATTCGTTGCTTGACTGAATTACTTGTTATTGTATCACCTGGACATAATCCATTTTACTAAATCCACTATGAATCCTGCATGATCCTTTGACTTGCAAAGTCTAGCTTGTCCTACAGTACCTTCGTCAAGATTCGACAAGAAATTGGCTACAAACTGATCAACCCGTAGTTTTCCAGATGGTCGCTATGTTCTACCTCGTGCAGTGAAACGGTAGATACCGGGTCAAATCATACAGAATTTTCAGTTCCTTCAAAAAGCGTGAAAACAAACTCTTTAACATCAAGGTTATTGGTTCAGCTAATTAATCAATGAGTTTTACCGTAATGGCATCTGTGCCTGAAGTCCTTTCTGCGCATTATTCAATGCATGTCACACGTTCTTCCACGAAGACATCTAAAATTTCGTTCTTTTCATTGGTTTCTTCAGTTTCTTCGCATCAGCTAAGGTTGCACTTGTCATCCTAGAACAGTTTCCAAGCAAATCTTTCACCCTGCTTATGATTTCTAGCCTGTCCCAAATGACAGCGGTGTGTTGCTTTGACAGGCAGAACATTTCGTTTCTCGACCATCAATCTTAAATTCAATTTCATCGTGCTTCGGTTAACCATTTCTGCCAACCTGTGGTTGAGCATCGAATTTCTTCTACTGTACATTTGCTTAACATTTTGCAAAGTTTCGTGGTTTATTTTTGACTTCCGATCTGGATAGCTTTATTTGTCATTTCTTCAAGAGATCTTTGGCTTGTTTCGTGATTTTTGGGTCGCCAATGTAGTTCTTGATCCAAAACCGTTCACCCCCTCTCTTACCTTACCATAGTTATACCTCGACAAACTACTTATGTTCACAGCTTCTGGCATGTGCTGAATCTTGAAGCGAAACAGCCAGAGGCCTTTCACAAGAGTTTCCATGTCGAACACGTTGTCTCGTGCTCAACAATTTACTTTTTTTAAGCTGAGGCCAGACAGTATTTGACGAATCTGAAAGTTTCGTACACTAGCACCCTGACACCCCGCACTGTGTTAACGATGAAAACGATTTCGTTCTCTTCATGTCATTTGAAAATTTCATAACGATTTTCTGTTTGGTCATTTCCAGAAAACAGTGCTCATGAAAAATACCCGTTTTTCCAATAAATTCTACTAGCAACCGTTCCTGCCGTTCCTTTAGCTGTATCCAAATCGGCCGGCACGGCTTTCATTTCCTTGCTGTAGTCTGACTTCGACCTGAAAATCGTCGATGATGAATCTGTCCATGTTCATGCAACTGATGTATTTATTCATGAATATCTTCTGTATCAGCGCATATACTTCGATTACTTCGAGCTCAGATGATTTACAAACTCCGAGAACCAGTCTTGCACACAAAGTCCATCATACACACAAGTGTTAAGCTCCAACTTGTTAACTCGGTTCGTTCGTTTAAATCTCCCAAGTATTGTAATGACTAAATCATACCAATTTCTTCTAGATCTTGAAGCCTTGCCATGTCTACAGAGAGCTGCAGTGGTGTCGTCACTGTTAGTAAATCGTCGTAGCTCCCATCTGAAATCAGAGTATTTTTCAACACCATGTGCTTTCATTTCAGGCCAGCTGCTGCCGGATGGGACATTAAGGGAAAACGGCCGAAATTTCAGTTGCGATAACTCATCACGCCGATCAGACGGGCTTCTTCCGCTTGGCCAGGTATATTTTTTAAGCTCTCGCAGCATGGTTGATCCAGCCAGAGTCTAGAAACAAAGCTGTACATAGCCCTGAGAATATGTTGTCACCGTTCTATCACTATGAGTAGTGGAAGGACTTAGGAGGATGCAGTGGATATGTTTTTAAAAATGATCTGTTCAATGGATGCACCATGAAAAATGAGTAGATCAAATAATAGAAGCTTGCTAACCATAACGGCCTACTTCTTTTACAACTTAAGTACACTGAAATAATATAATGACATAGAAGATAGAAGATAAAATTTGTTATGCACTGTTACAAAGCGGCAAAATATATGCGACGACAAGTTTTATGATAGAATGCCGTAAGGAAAGAAATTTTCCCAATTCCTTTACGTAAAATGAAGTTCGAAACGCCGTGTCACAACGTTTTGAACACAAACATGTCAAGTTACATCATCATCATCATCATCAAGTTACATGTCAGGCGACAAAAACAAATTAAGATATGGAGAATAAATTTTGTCCTTCGGCAACAGTAATAAGCAGCGATGGAATAACAGTCACTGAAATGGATGT